CTGTTCATCGGGGTCCTTGAGGAGTGAATACACTGAAATGGAGTTAGCAGGACTTTCTTGGGAGGAGCCTTCGGTCGTAGGCAGAGTAGCCCTAAAACAACAACAACAACAGCACAGATTGGTTGCCTGTGTCTCTTTTCTCAAACACTCACCATGCAAGAATGCTCAGGCCCAGAGTGGGACCCGGGAGATAAGCGTCGCAGGAATGCCGAGGTCACAGCCCAGCGGGACGCGGGGGCCCCGCAGGCAGCGGGCAACGTCAACACGCGGTCACCGGCTTCGTTCTCCGGCCAAAGCCCAGCGGCTCTTGAGAACCATAGAGAGCGATCGAGGTGCAAACGGCGAGGGCTGAGCCCGCACCCGCCTCCCTGCCCACGGGGCTGGGAAACTCGCCTCCCAGCCGGGGCTGTTGGAAATCGCCACCAGTGGGCCCCTAACAACACTGTGAGCAGGGAGAATTCACGGAAAAATGGAGCATTAGGGCAATGCTGTCAGTTAATTTGGGATGGTAACTGCCCAGCCAGTGTGGCTCAGTGGTTGAGTGTCAGCCCATGAACCAGGAGGTCAGGGTTCGATTCCCAGTCAGGGCTCAGGCCCGGTTTTCAGGCTCGATCCCCAGCAGGGGGCGAGCAGGGGGCAGCCGATCCATGACTCTCATCACAGATGTTTCTCTCTCTCTCTCTCTCCCTTCCTCTCTCTGAAATCACTAAAAAACACATATTTATAAAAAGAAATGTTGCCCAATAAAAAGTAATGTATTTTTCTACCCCTAATAATAAACCCTCCCAAGGTTCTTTAGCACTTGTTACTTTATAGACCCTTTTTGCTATTGGTGGGGGGAGAGAGAGGGTCAGAGACCTCAGATGCCCCCCGAGAACAGCCCAGACCCCGGGTTTACGGGGTCCGGACACTTCTTCAGGCTTTTTCTCAGCTGATCCTCAGCAACGTAGATGAGACGACCGCACATGGCCTGGGGCTGCGGGCCCCGGAGTGACACAGGGCCCGGGTCAGACGGAAGGAGCTGAGGACTCTAGGTCCAAGGGGGGCCTGGGCAGCAGGGTGGGGGGACAGAAAGGCAGAAACGGGCCCCGAGGCACCCACCAGAAGTGATCCGTGTCATCTGGGATGGAACAGGGGCTCCGCCCGGCACCAGGACGCCTATCTGGCCTGTCATCGAGGCCCCGATGCTATCGCGACCGGCCGTGCGGTGTCTGAAGCCGCTGGACTCGGGGGATTGTGCAACCGAATTCCCTGGGAGGCTTGGGAAATAGTCT